CTGTCAAAGAATTGGATTCTCATGTATATTGCATCTTGTGTCTTTTTAATTAAGAGCTATTATATATTTTTTCAGCTATGATAGAAGACAGAGAGAGAGAGAGAGAGAGAGAGAGAGAGAGAGAGAGAGAGAGGCTTCCTTCAATTAACAGTCATGTGCTTTGATCTCCCAGCCCTTCAGGAGCACTGAGTCATGCTAAGATGAGCAAGTCCCACACCTGCCCACCAAGGGGTCCTGGTCCAGTTGTCAGTAAGAAACATAAACATGAAAACATAAGAGGAGGAGCCCATGCTGTGGCGGAGGCAGTTCTACCGCAGGACATCTAACTAGAGCCCTGTGAGTCCAAGTCAGCCCCCAGTGTATTTTGAGGATCCCGTGAAAATTGAACTTGTGGCCAAGACTCACGTGGCCCAGACTCACGTGGACGCACGCCTGAACATCCATATTTGTAGTTCCAAGGAAGAATCAAAAGAACCCTGGGAATCCAGAGAGCAGATGCCACAGCACATCAGCAGCTAGAAGAAGGCCTCTATTTCCTTTCCCAGCTCCGGTGTTTACTCAGCCTTCATCCTCCAACTTCCTGTTTGGCTGGCTCTGGGCTTTTGGGTTCATCTTTGATGCCTGTCTGACCTGTGAAGGATTGTAGTGTATGATCCTTCAGAGTAGCTTCAGATGCAAATGTAAATAAGCACAGCTATTATCGAAAGGAGTATGGAGGTTCCTCTAATTGCTGTAAAATCCAGAAGCCCCTCCATGGGAAGGCAACAAAGTCAGGTGGTCAAAGAGACACTAGCATTCCCACGGCTATAGAAGCACTGTTCAGCACGAGGGTATGGAATCAACCGAAATAGCCGTCAACACACACATGGACAAAGAGATGCGGTACATACACCGATGGAACACTATGCGGCCCTAAGAAGAGACCTACAATGAAGAGGATGCATCAGGGAGTATCATAGTAAGTGAAATGACCAGTCACAAAAAGACAATCATCACGTGGTTTCACTGTTTGCGAGATCGATACAAGGAGAGAATGGAAGATTCCGTGTGGGTCCTCAAAGGCCTGGAAAGTTAGGCAGGAGGAGGGGCCGATCAGTGAGAACAATGAGATCATCAGAGAGGAGGAGGAGGAGGAGATTCTGGTTCTTCTGTGGCATGGAAGGGTGGATACACCTACCAGTAATGGTTTATAGATCTCAAAATAACTAGCAGAGAAGGCTTTGAGTAACTCACCCTAGAAAGGTGATAAAAGTGGAAGATGATGAGATGTCAGTTGCCCGGACTTAGTCCTGACCTGGAGCTTAGGTGCATCAAAACCTCAGACTGTAGCTCATTAATATGTAAAATTATTAGGTATCAACCAAAAATAAAATAAACAAAGCATTCAAAGCAGGTGAAAGCAAAGGACTCTGTACTGAACTCTAGGAGGGAAAGGGTTAGGGAGGGCCCTGAGGAGGAGGGAATTGGACAGCATGGTGCTGAAGCCTCTGGGCCTTGATCTGCTGCTCCTCAGTTGCTTCCCTGAGCTGCATCTGCTGGACTCTGGTTTCGTCATTCAGTCCCTGGTGTGGCTCATCTCCCTCTAGACTTCAATGTCCTCAAACTTTTCACGTTGAATTATGGTACAAGTACATTTCCAAAAATTGCTCTGGGAAGGAAGGACGGAAAGGGAAATGAAGGGAGGGGAGGGGAGGGGAGAGGAGGGGAAGGAAGAGGAAGGGAAGAGAAGGAAAGGGAGGGGAAGGAAGGAGGGAGAGAGGGA